CAACTAACTGAACACCACTTGTGTCTGGATTTGATGAGCTGGGAATGAAAATGGGTGTGTGTACGTGTGTAGCAGAAACTACAGTGGCCACTAAACTTGCGACAAACGTGAAACTTCAGCCAGTGTTTGGTTTGACCGGGCTGGTCTGCTGTATACTGTAACATGGCGGTGCAACATGGTGACCTCTGCGGAAGGCAACCCGTAGGTCTGTAGATGGAGATCATTCTAAGGTAACAAAACACCAATGAAAACATACATATGAATATTATATTCCATTTCTGACAAAACATCTTCCTCAATGTTGAAACTAGATCTATATTCAGTTCTTCTCATACATTTGATAGAGTGGATGAACAGTGACATGCTGCAGGGTTTCATTTAAAGGAATATTCTGACATTTTAGGAAATGTGCTTATTGGTTTTCTTTTTGACGAGTAGATAAATACCACTCTCATGTCAGTACAGAAGCTACAGATAGTTTAGCTTAGCATAAAGACTGGAAATAGTCTGGCTTTGTCTGAAGGTAATACAATCCTACAAAACAACTGAGGGCAATGAGCGGAGACTGCAGGAAGTAACTGCATCTGACCAAGATATAACACACAACCCACCACGACACCACAACACCACAACTTGTTTTTACTCTAACAAACAAGATCTAATGTTTCAATTACTGAGCTTTAGAAGTGCTGATAGGCAGATTTCTTTTTATCCTCACACAGAGCCAGACCTGCCGTTTCCCCCGTTTCATGACATGAGAGTAATATCATTCTTCACATCTAAGTCTTAATAAGACAGTAGGGATGCACGGATTTATTGGCCAAACACCGGTATCGGACGAAATTCACCTTGTTGTGGCCGATGTTGTTGTTTTTGTGCTGGCTAAATGTTGTGTTGGTTATTTCTAACTTGGATATTGGAGAAATAATTACCTCTGACCAACACTGGCACAAATTGCATGCCAATACTGATCCAGCAGCACAGACAGTGAGCGGCTGTACAGCTCTGTCTAAATTGTTATCTTAAACGTCGGTATGAGCCCAGAATTTACATTCCTACAAGAAAGTGAACACACGTATTTACCATAATGTTAAGCTATTCCTTTAAAGATTGCTTTACCTGCCATTAATCTACAGGAGTGTGAGTGGCAGCCTGCGTGTGAGTGATGTCGAAACTGAAGTGTTGCAGAGCAGCAAGTAAACAGTGGAGCAATAAAGCAGGGGAAGAAATGTGTGACCTTCTCACAGGTTCAGACACTGCAAACAGTCAAGCAAACACACTTGTGTTACTTCCACTAAAGACTGAGTTGGCAACATACTGAACCGTTGCACCACACTGGTCTGGACATACCAGTGCTGCAACTAACAAGCAAATTATTTTCTCAAATAGTCGATTGATCGTTTAGTCTATGAAATGCAAAAAAGATGTGGAAAAATAACCATGACAACTTCTCAAAGCAAAAAGTGACGTCTTTAAACTGCTTATTCTGTACATTTATTACTGTATAAGACGAAGACAGGAAGTAAATGCTCATATATGAGAAGCTGGAACCAGCACACGTTTGGCATGTTTGTATTAAAAATAACTAAAATTGATTATCAAAATAGTCCCAGAGTAATTTTCTTATAACCGACTAATCAATTGATTGACTAATCATCTCTGCTCTATAACAGAGAATATAACAGCAAAACCTAAGTTAGTATAAACAAAATGTTTTTGACCTCAATGTTTTTCATTAGAAAAATCTAAATCTGAAAATTTATGAAATATAAGTTGAATGTATATCATTTTTACTGTGAAACGTTTCTATAAATCTCCAATAAGAAGAAAAATAGAAAACTTTTTTATAAATCTTTTATTCTGTACCGGATTTGTTCAAAGTCACAACCAGAAAACAGGAACAACCACAGATCAAGATAAAAAAAAAGAAAAAAAAAAAGAAGCATTTTCCAGTAGAGAATAAAAATAGCCCATTATATTAATCATTTCAAATACAAGCTGCTGGACCATAAATGTCAGCCTTGAGGGAAATGAAGAGAAACAATTAACACACCAACAATTGAGTTGAAAGTGTCCCAACAGAACAGAATCCATGTCTTTATTTAGCTGCATTGTATTTTTATTGTTTTTGCAGGAGCCTGACGGAGTTTACAGGAAATATGGGTCACAATGACCACAACCTCGGTGGACTGACATGTTTCTCCCACCAAAAGTCACTCTATGTCCTCTTGAGATTAACTCTTAACTTTGAGGAAAGGACAACGGAGGTCAGCACAGAGTAATAACACACCTTCTTTGGTATAAAGTCATTTGGTAACACCTGTAGAGCCCACTCCATTATGGAACAAATACTGAGTGACTTTTATGGTTTGATACGTTTGTAATGACAAATAACCCATAAAGAAATCAACTAAATGTCAAAAGAAAACCTGAGCAAGTTATGTTTGATCTCAGAAAGTCACTGTAAATCTAACTCAATTATAAAATGTCACACACCTAGATTAGCTTGGCATTCAATTGTGCGGGCGTGCTGGGACATGACTACTGGATGTGCCATAGGATGAAAAGGGTTCAGTGATTTAACAGAAAATTAACAGCTGAGTGACAACAAAGTACAATGCAGACACCCACAGATCTTGAACATTGACATTGACAATGAACATGAACAGATCTTTCTCCTACGATGGGCTGTGGTAATAACCTTATGGTAAAGTCTGTTCTGTTTCTGGTGAGAGAACGGTGCTGAATTGCAGTATTTCACTCTAAATTTTAAAAAACACAACATGAATAAGCTAAAAATCAGGCAACAGCTTTAAAATGCAATCTACTTGTTATTGGGGCAGAAAATCCTGACGTCCAACAGACTGATTCAGAGGATGAGAGTACTTCCTACACATGCTAATTATGTATGACCAACAAGTTAGAAATTGTTCAGCTGTGGAAGAATATTGTAGATATTGTCATAATGATTTCATATTAAAATACAAACCATTATTTTGTAATATATAAACTATACAAGCAGGATTACTGTTAAGGTACAGAGTTGACACAAACATGACCAACCTGAAATGCTTTGCGTCCACTGGGAGACGACAGGCAGGTGACTGAACGCTGGTCAACTAGGTCCAGAGCCTGCAGTGCACAAGGCCCGAACACAAACTTCAGCCTGAAAGACATGAGGGAGAGGCGAATGAAAGATGTAAAAACATCCATAACATGTTTTGAGTTTACATGTGTGGATGGCAATACACAACTTGAAATATATACACAGAGACTGCTGGGTAGAAGTTTGAAGAAAAGATCAAATTATCAAATTAGACCAATTTAAATATAATACTCCAGTGTGTGTGTGTGTGTGACTATGGCAGAATTTCTCATTAAAAAGCATGTTTTGTCAGCCCCCTGTGGAGTTGACTTTTGAGTCTACTATTGGTAGAAGAACCGGCTTATTTGCCTCTTTTACAGTCACTTGACTTCTTCCCCGTATCACAGCTGAATCCTCACACAACCATCAGTCTAGAGTGAAGCTCTTGCTCTTCATTTTAGGTGAATAACACCAAAACTCTACATTTAAAGTGTATGCTACAAATGGCAAAAAATATTATTATTCCGTTTTCAATTTATAAAGTTGAACATTTTGCATTGACAGATAACAACAATGGGTGCAGTGTCAAAGTATTTTACCCTTCACTTCACCACACTGTGAAATCAAAATACATATTATAGGAATAATACTCTACAATCAATATGTATCACAATATAGCAAAAGGATGTAAGATAATCATATTGGTGTCCAATGCCAGTGCAGACATTCATTCCAGACAAAACTCTTCTAATGTAAAACAACAACTTCAATCATTCAGTTTGCTAGTTTTTAATTATTCTTTACAACATCATTTTGCCTGTAAGGGAAAGATGAATATAAAAGTGGAAAATGTCTGCTTGTGAACTACCAGTGTGATGAAGAGCCCCTAAACCAGAGGCTTACAGACAAACAGACAGGATGTGGCCATGTTGAGCCAGACAGTGAGCACCCCTTTACTCTCAGTAACTCAAACCACTATGCCAGGAAATGTCTCAGTAAAGACACAGAGGAGCATCATGACACTGTGGCTCAATGCTACGTCACTTTGGCAAATCCAGACTGTACAAATGCCTCCCACTTTCTCCACAGTGTGGCTTCTGGTATTCACACCCACTCAGCCATGTGCCGACTTTTTTACTTAGATCACAACTCAGACAGGGAGGATCCCTACATTCATGGGAATAAAAAGGATACTTACCCAATAAGCAGGTCATCAGGAACTGCAAAAAAGAGACAAATAAGTAATTTCTTAAAATGTGTGTTTATGCATTAAGAATCATTCCACAGATTCCACAGAGTGATGAAACTTTTATCATCATGTTCATGCTTTACCTGTGTAATATGATCAGAGTAATCTGAGGAATCATTATCAAACCTCTAGCTGTCTCAGACAACCCAAAAGAAACTAAAAAAAAAAACTACATAGTTGAAATGTGGAATCTGTGTAGATGACAAAATCCTCTGTACACTGCAGAGCAGCAACCACTCTGCTGTTGTGTTAATGTGGTAAAGAAACTATATTTAGATACACAGACTGAACTTTTGCTTCTTGTGTAGTTGTTTGGCTTCATTTTGCTCCTTAAAAAATGTTTATGAGCCACTGGAGAACTGTGTCCAGACAGTGCCTGGTGTTTTCATTTTGTGATTCATTAAACTATTGTTACACTGCATTTTAATAGCATGATTATCTGATGGGTGCAGTTGGGAATTGCCTTTTTAGGTACGACTACTAAGAATGTATACACACACAAAAAACTATTGTTACATTTGTAAGCGTAATAACCTATACTTGTGTTCTGAATCACATATTTTTACACTGTGGTAATGCTGCTTTTGGTAAAGGGTCTGACTACTTTTCTGTCCACTCCTAGCAATCCAGCACAAGTCTGTTGGGTAGAGAGGAAAGCTGATGGCCAAACAGTTATGGGTTCAAATCTAATGACTATTTCAGATAATACGGGTAAAAAAAAAAATGGAGCAACTGCTGAAATGGCCTCGGGCAAGGCACTGCCTCTGTGTCAATTATTCACACCTGCAGTATTATTTAGTCCCTAACCCTGACTAAAGTATACAAATTAAAGCAGCTCTTCCTGAAGCCAAAACTAAAAGTAGTGTCCTTCTGTTTGGTAATACAGATAAACCACAATCATTAACTAACAGTAATAAAAGTCTGCTGAGGCATACTGATCAATATTGGTATTAAGGGCTGGGCAGGAGGTAATTCTTTATAGACAATAAACACAAACCTTTGCTGAAGGTTTCGTGGAGCAGGACATTCCCGTATTTTATGTCCTGTCAGGGGGAACTGTCTTATATGTGACTTATATGTTCAATAGGTGAATTATGTCAGTCTCATCATGTTGGACGTGTTGTTCATAAAACTACCAATGGGCTTTTGTCACAGCACAGGTGTCATTAATAAAAAAAATATGATGGATGAATTCCATTTGGCTGTTTCTGTTTCAGAGTCATGGCTTACTGGGACACAGGGAGTGAACATAGCCATTGTTAATATTATTGGTACCACCTGAGCTGCTATGAAAAAGGCCTTTACCAGGACCCTGAAACGAACACCTCAAAGAAAGAGCCATTATAGATGTTATTAATGACACCTGTACTTCTCCTGCAAAATGTCTGCTGTAAAAAAGCTCCATGTTTTTAGGTGTTTTAAGCCTAAACCAGCCTATAGTATGAGTAGCTTGCTGTTTAGAGAAAAGACTAGAGAAATATAAGTGTGTGGCAGCGGCGCCTCCTACAGGGCAAATATTAAACTACATCACAGTAAAACTCTGGAACAACAAGAAGTCCAGATGTACCGAAAGTTACATTAACGTTACTGCGGAGCACAGTGATGCGTTTTAATGAGTGGAAAAGTAAAAGTGAACTGTTTCCTCCTGACAAAGAATACGTTAATGTGAAGTTTGTTCAGAAACTCAATCGAGTTTATCACATTGTGCTATAATCAACCGTTAGCTAGTAACGCTACAGATACTTTAACATTAAAACTGTCACATTTATCTCCCTCTGCGACTCGTGTCTTACTTTGAGATGTTTCCTGGTATGTTTTTTGAATATCTCGGAAAAGCTGTTCGGCCACTGCAGGCAAAAATGAGCGCATTTTTGTTTCCGGAAGTCATCGATTCCGTTAGCCAATAACATACGATCAAAATATTACGACTTCCGGCTTGAACGTTTGTTGCCTCCAAAATAAAAGCCCCAGGCCAAGGCAACTATCACAATTTAGGAAATCGCTATCGCTGCTCCACCAGACAACTGACATATTAATGCCATGCTATAATTGGTTTGAGTTTATTTTGATTTACTTATGTTGCCCTATATGCCACCATTTATGTGACTTTCCAATTCATTTTCAGATATAGGACAGTAGCTTAACATCCATAATTCCTTGACGTGTCAGTTATTTAAGTGGTGTAATGCAGGTCTCAGGAGACATACAACAGCAGAAAAAAGATTATGACATGGGGGACATGTAGCACAGGTGTTTCTAATAACCAGTCAACGAGCTAACAGGCTCTTTACACAAAAGACATTCTGACATGTCATAGCTGCAAAAGCACAGGTGAAATTAATAACACTGCTCCATTAAATCGTAGATGACCCATTGTTGGGTCACTGAATAGGCCTACTGTGACACTTGAATGGAGCAGAGCCATAATTGATGTTAAAACCCATGCTTTAACTCAAAATGACCTGCTTTGAAACCTTTAGCAAACCTGTGTTTGACAAGCCAAGTGTCTGCTGGTCATTAATGTGCACTCTGGCAGTCAGTCTCAGACTCATTAAACAGGATATAATGGATACCGATCAATTGAACCTCAGTGAACTTCTTTAACCAATCATGAGTTAAGAAAATAACCGGGAGGTCCTGGTAGCTTACCTGGTGGAGTGTGTGCTCCAAGTAAAAAAGGCTGAGTCCTTACTGCAGTGGTCTCAGTTCGATTCCGACCTGCAGCCCTTTGCTGCACGTCATCTGTCTCTCTCTCACTTCAGTTTCCTGTCACTATTCAGCTGTCACTATTGATTAGAGGCAATAAACCCCCCAAAAAAATAATCGTAAAAAAGGAAAATCACTATCGTCTTCATTATATCACACAGAATATGCAGTGGCAAGCCTGCTGTAAAGTGAAGCCATGATGTACCTCAGCAGCTGATTTTTTTTATTATATGTATCATGTTTAAATGTATAACTTGAAAAGTAACCTGAATGCAGCAAAAACCTGTATTTTGCATGAACTATTTTCTGTAGCACAAAGGGCTCCAGTGTGTTAAGTGGTTTTCTATATGATTTTATAATGTTTTCTATTTTCTGTTTAATGGTAATTCAATTAACAGCTCTGCCTCATTCACTCACATTCATTTAAGTCTGAGAATCACTATAAATGAGAGGTCAGTCACATTTTGCAAAATTACAAGTTGCAATTCCTATCACAATAATGTTCTTGTATACTGCATTAGATCACAAATAAAAAGTATTGGTGCACCTCAGCCAATGACAATTATGGCACAAGCTACAAGAAGAAAGTCATAGTAGTCAGTAAATATATGGCTATAAAGGATCTACACATTTTTAGTGGTGGAGAACTGAACCACTTTATTTGATTGGTCTGAACTCTTGTAATAGCCTACTAAGAGACATTGTGCGATACAAACATTGCATTTCAACATCATAGGATACACGGGTTTTCAAGTCTCAATTTCAAAAAGACAAAAAAAAGTCACCACTCTGTGTTTGATAGAGAGCTGAAAAGATGCTCTAATTCTTTTTCGGCTTCATGTCGGATTTCATTAAGATTCAAGTTTGTAAACTTTTTTTTGTCATTGCCTTTGTAAACACATAACATCCCATTTAAACAGGATGAATAACAAAGATGTTGAAAATGACAAAATAAAAATCTGAACATGTGCTATGACAAATGATTCAAAATCAATATGAAAGGAACAAAGGAAATATCAAGTTTAGAGCAGAATGGATTTGTTAACTGAGCAAAGTGAAAACTGAAAAAGCCAAAATATGGTATTTTTTCCATATATCTAAAAAAAAAAAAAATAAAGACTTGCAAAGGAACGTTACTGCCGTTTATGAAGTTGACCTAGTATATTTCATATTCAAAGCTGTATGCCAGTTGATTGACACAATGAAAGCAGAGATTAAGTGGTCACGGTTTTGATTCACCATGACAGCAAAGTCCTAAACATTTAACGGTACCATACACTTGAAACTGTAACTGTGATGCCACACTACAAAAATCATGTACCAGCTACAAGAAAAGACAGGAAGTCAAAACATCCAGAATTCTGTGAGTGGTGGGAAAAACTTAAAGCACATCTTAGTATACTCCTGTGCTGGAGGTTGAATAAGTTACACAGCAGGTAGTATGCTTTTTTTTTGTCAAAAGCTACGAAGCAAAAAAGTGCAACAATGGTGCAGACCATTCTTTATGTTTGGTTAGTTTTGTCTTTTTGTGTAATGGAAAGACAATTTACAGAGTTCAGATTTTTGTCAGGACAGTATCAAAAAAAAAAAAAAAAGGTGAAGAAAAAAAAAGGGACTACAGAAACAAATACAAACATCAAACATCAACGTATATCTCTGAGAAAATTAGTTAAAGCTGCCTTCTTTCTCAAGTCACAAGGCATGGCAAAACCTGACATACTTTTTTTTTTTACCATGACAACGTTGCAGAGCAGATCATTCTGGACAGGTTGGAAACTGCAGAGAGAGACAGCTACATGTGACACACCATGGCTCTATTGAAAAAAATAAAAATAAAATAAAATTGGCTCACTCTCATTATTCAGACGGGGTCCAGAAGTAGTCATAAGGATATCTTTTCCGGCAAAATGAAGCTTATATCAGACTATTCACCTTTCTGTTATGACACCAGTGTTCTCAACTTGTTTTGAAGACATTTCTCTGTCTATAACGGGATGAGAAGTTACCTCTACCATCTGATAGTTACAATCCATGCATCATCTCCACTATGTGGCAAAGACGGGCATCAAATATCAATGCTGTTTGAAATGTTAGTCTGTTTCATCCTCGAATGTCCACGGTGTTCAGGCTCTGGTGGTGCTTGGTGGATGGCGTGCAGGGTGGCACAATCTTTGTGTTCCACTCATGGTCAAGTACAAACCAAAAGGTTTGGTCTCTCTTAGCGTCGCTATGGTAAAAATATTAGAGTGGGTGTCAGGTGACGTGGGGTGGGGGTCGACTGGGAGAGACCAACTGTGATATTAAAGATTACACCCCTACTCTTCCCATTTAAAGTGGATCAATTTAAAAGCGACATTAAAATAAGAAATAATCAAGTTAAGAAAAACACTGCAAAAGGTTACTCTATTTACATACAATGATTTTCTTAAAGACAAGGTATATCTTTACAGAAATCAAACAAAATTCAGAAATAGTCTCTTATGTTGTTTCTTTTTACATATTAAGTTCTTCATCTTCACTATAGCTCATGTCATCCCCTCAGTCGAGTTTTGTTTATTTCCCCGACAGGCTGGGTGAGTGCTTCCGGACCAAAAACTAGTCTTGTTCTGCTGAAGAGCCCTGCCTGTCACAGGCTGCTGCTTGTATTCTCAGCTAACAGCCAGGGGGCGCCATAGCACCAAAAATAAAAAGGACACCACCCCATCTACTTGTCACACTCGCCAGTGAGCAAGGTTAGTTCTAGGAGGGGGGTGAACAGACAAGCCTTAGTGCAGGCCTCTCTTCTAGTCATGGCTCTAGCGAGCAGGGCTCAGTCATCACTGTCAGACAGGGTCTCATATTGCTCTGACAGCAGAGACTGCCACACGCGCTGCTGGCCCACCGGGGCTCCAGCTGGAGGTGGCTGCTGCTGCTGCTGTTGCTGCTGCTGCTGTTGCTGCTGTGCTGTTGCTGCTGCTGCTGTTGCTGTTGTTGTTGTTGTTGTTGTTGGTGTTGCTGCTGCTGCTGCTGCTGCTGCTGCTGATGCTGCTGATGCTGGCTCTGTATGGCGGGGGAAGCTATGGAGGTGGGTGGCGTGTTGCTCAGTATGCGCATGGTCAGCGGGTTGTAAGGAAACTGCATGGATCCTGGAAAGGGAAGGAGAAAAAAAATTTAATAAAATGTGGTTAAACTGGTACCAGGTATTTCTGTCTGTGAATTTATAGTTTTAAGACGGCAGGGGCTGGACAGCTCACCTGCGGATGAAGGTCGGTCGTCCCAGCTCCATTGGGCTTGGGCTTGGGCTTGTCTGTGATAATCTCCCTCGGAGTGGACAGAGGACACTGAAGAGGGACGCTCTCCTCCAGAGTAGGCCTGACCCAAGTTAGGAGACTTCGATTTCCGGCTGTTGGCTTTGCCCTGCTTCTGCTTCCCTGTAGATTCAAACATGCAGAATGTGTAAATCCACAACATGTTAAACATAAGATCCCTTCTGAACGTGTTTTTTTAAGAATTTAATTTGCGCCTACCCATGCTGGGTGATGGGTTGGCCTCCTGGCGGGCGTCACCACCTGTGCCGGTTGTATTGTTTATGGCACACTGAGCCCCTCCGTGGTGCTCCTCCGGTCTCTCCTCCAAATTACCCATCAATGCTTTGCGAATGATGTCCTCCAGGCCCAGGTTACTGGCTGGGTCACTAAAGGAGTGATTCCTGGGGTTGATGCTGCCTACAAATCAGCAACAAAACATATAATGAGAAAGGAGACATCAACTGGATTGAACTATGAAAGGCATGAGCAAGTTTAACTGCTACTTACTGGAGCTGGTAACAGCAGGCAAGTTGAAAATCTCTGTGCCTGGTTGTGCGTTTCCTGCAAGACAATTATTAGATGTTGAAAAAAAATAGAAATTTAGTGAAAAATTATACAGTAAGCCAAGTTGTTTCAATGTTTTAAAAGAAATTAGAAGGAATTAATTAAACAAATGTCTTTCATGCACACATATTAATAGAGTTTGTTCCATCATCTGATGAATGCATGTTAGTGAGGAAGAGGATAAGAGAGGACCCACTTACCAACATCAGAATCACCGACACCAGAGGTGGAGTTCAACTTACGAAAGATCTCCTGCTTCTTGGATTGCACCATTTGCGAGGTGCTCTCTAGCTTGGTGAAGAAGGAAGGCAGATAGCTGACACTCCCCGGGGATCGTGAGTCACTCCTTGAACCAGACAAACCAGAGGCAAAGAGTCAAAAAGCAAAGGGGTAAGAGGGGCAACAAGCCTTTGGCGCTAGGCACTTTCTCTAGTGGGATGTCAAACGACTGCTGACAGGGTGGGAACACTGCCTGCTGGCATCCATACAAGAAATTGATTTACAGACTAATACAGTCAGGCATCAAATGTCAGAGCACCAACAGGAAACTAACTTTAGCAATGTGCAGCTCCAGAGTAGAAATTCTGGTTACTTAATATTCACAACATTACAGGGGACAAGACATTTGTATCTCAATACACATATACAAGCACAAAGAAAAAACATCTCCCCTTTCTCTCTTGACTACAATTTATTGTAATCAACGACTACTGTAATTAACCCTTAAATTGTGTTAGCTACTATCTTCCTACACTACTGTGGAGATCCCATACCTGATCTCTGAGTTGTCAGCCTCTCTCCTCTGGGGTGGAGGCCCACCAGCCTCCTGTTTGTCAATGCCTTGGTAGTTCTGTGGTGGAGAGATGGGTTCATAGTTCTCCATCTGCCTGCCGCCTCGATCTGGAGATTTACCGGGCCTGGACAGGGAGGAGAGAGAGCCAAATGTCATGACAGATGATAAGTAATAAATAAGACTCACTCTGATTATTTCAGAGTTAACTGGCTGGTCCATGTACCTAGCTCTGGGCTTGTCAGGAGCATTTTCTGGAGAAACTCTGCTGGAGGGTCTCTGGTGGTGTGGGGCCTGGACCTGATTCTCTGGACTGTAACGGCTAGGAACCTTGGCTCGCCCTGAAGAGGACACGGGTGGCACCACGCTCTGGAATGTGGCCGAAGCTGAAGAGGAGACTGGAGGAAGGTCCTGATTCCGGGCGAAGTCCTGGGTTATGATATGCTGAATGACAGGGAGTGACCATAAAGTTAGGTATGATGTGTTGATGTACATGGGAAATCTGACCTGTGCTAAATATCTCCAAATAATCTCCATTGTTTCTTACCGAAATATGGTCCGCCAAGGTCATGACCCGGTGAGTCTTGGGGACCTGGGAGTAGCTGTCAGCCTGGGAAGAGGGGGGCTGCTGGGGACTGGCCTGTGGTGGCTCCCCTTGTTGCCGGTAACGACTCATGTCGTAGGCCCGCATGCCAGCTGAAGAAGGTTTACCAGGAACCAGAGTTTTGTTTTGGAGAAAGATGCAGGGTGAGGTGAGGAGAGATAAGACAGGGAGCAATTAATATACTGCGTGCCAACAGCAACTGATCTACATTTGTTTTCAGGTGACAGGAATAACTTCAAGAGGGGTCTGGTGACGAGACTGGTACAGAGGAATGAAGCCTCAAATGACAAGGTCAGTGGGGTAAGTCATTCAAGCTATGGTATGTTTACTCCACTTGACTGGAAGGTAAATTTAGCCTTCACAGCCAAATCTGTTACACATCATCTTTGACCTAAAGCACAAAATATTTGATTTGATTTCAAATGAAACCTTACTTCAGTTATACTAAAAAATGTATACGCTCAAAATTAGTTGGTCTGTTCATACCTGCTGCCTGTTGTTGTCCTTCTTCTGGTTTGTCCTGTTGTGATTGTACTGGGGAACTAGCAGGACTGATCACCTCAATGGCTCCTCCACCAGTGTTGTCGTACCGACTGGATGACACTGCAGGACAAGTATGGACAAAAGGTTACAATGCACTCTAAGCAAAGGACACAATATGAAGGTTTGGCTATGGTCTACTCGTGTATCCCTCAACACACTCACAGCTGCTCGAGGAGTCAGAGCTCTGAGAGCCTCGCTCCCGTGAGTCTTTGTCCGATGCTATCTGCCGTGTGATGATGACATCAATGAAGTTAGCGGCTGTGATAGTCGTTTTTCCACGAGTCCGAAGCTCCTCTTCGATGCGTGACTTTGAGGTTTGAGGGCCCTTATCCTTAACCCCAGGGCCCTCAGAATAAGCAGAATGGGGCTTACCCCCTGGCAGAGACATTGCACCATATGGTGACTGCATGGATCGCCTCTCTGCCTCCTGCTGCTGCTGCTGCTGCTGCTGCTGCTGCTGCTGATCGGATAGGGTGGCTGCTCGCCGAGGTGCAGCCGACGAGGACATGTCGTCATCCCGTTCATGTTTGCTTTCCTTCACCTTGGCCACATCCATCTGTGGGGCAGAGGCAGCGGCGTCCACCAGAGCAGCCAGAGCATCAGCTGCAGTACTGTAGCGAGAACTACTCTGGGCTGCTGCTGTCGCTGCTGCTGAATGGGGCCTGAGGAGGAAATAAGGAGATGAAGACAACTATATTGCCTGTAGGATTGGTTCAGTTACTACAAGTCTGACTAATGCAACTGAAGTCTACTGTCTATACTTTTAATGTACACACACACACACACCTTCCTAAAATTTGAACATGTAAATAAACTGAGGACAAATACATGAGCAGACACACACAGTGAGTGTTAAGTGAGCTGATGTAAATGCAGAGTTAGAATAAGACTCACATTAGAGAAGTGATGACACTTTTGCCCTGGAAGATGCTTGGCCGCTGTTGAACAACTACATCCTGCGTCCTGAGTAAGGGAGAAGTGGAGTGCAGATAACCTCGACTCACTGGCCGGCCTGGCTGCTCTGGTCCACCTGTTACACACAAATACATGAATTACATTATATACAGCACTGTATAGCATACACAGTAACAGCAACACAAGTTTTTCAAAGTGATTTATTTTTTTCCCTTCTTTTTTTTTAAACTTTATAAATAAATATTTAATTGTGTGATCAAAACGCTGTGAAATACGACAGCTTTAAAGACAAAAAACCTGCATCATAGAGTAAATGAATAGATATAGGACGATATGAACATTTCATGTCACAATGATCCTGTCCAAAATACTAGTTATCACAATAATTATCAAAATATTCCCAAACCTCTTAAAATGGCACAAAAACATGCATGAATCATTATAATAATGATATAAAACAATATATTAATATATAAGACATCAGATAGACACCTTATCTTCCTGTGGTTCTGTAGTTTGGAATCTAAACTAATATTTAGACCCGGTTTAATTTGTTTTTGTGGGGGATACAAGGGGCAAGCCAATCCTTCAGTTGTGGTGACTAGCTTAAGATTTTGAAACGACTGGAAAGATGTGGGATACTTCTTGTGGTAATTTAAAATAAATCCAGAAATCAACACTTACATTATCGAGCTAGACAGCTTTTTTATGTCAAGATATGATGTTCACAATTATAAAATAACTTATCTGAGTGTTTTCAGAATATATCTATGTGTATCTTTTGTGTCATCCCTATACTTGAATATACAGGATGCTATACATTTAACAAATTGTATCGGGGAAACATCAGAAAAGCGAGATATTGTTTAGTGAATGTCAATGTATTAGTGATCTTTGGTCAGGGCAAATGCAATTTAGTAGACAAAGTCATAAATATTGGGTTCTCCATTTGTGTTCTATCCAATCTTTGTTTTCCCCTTCATGTCATACTGCTACAACCAGCCGCTCTCCACATCTGCTTTCTGACTATATATAAACCATAAATCATTTTTTGTTATGTAATTCTATAACTGCACTGATTTCTAAAAGGAACCAGTGATGCGAATTGATAAACATTTGCTCAGTAAAATGGATCAACACAGATTTACTATATTAAAAAGGGATAGAAACATAATCAATTTGAATTGAAATTTTCTGCTGCTTTAAACAACAACAAAACAACTCACCACGGATATATTCATTGGTTCGCTCCCGGTCCCGCTCTCGTTCTCGCATTTCCCGTTCCCTCTCCCGCTCTCGTTCCCGTTCCCGTTCTCGTTCCCGTTCCCGTTCCCGTTCCCTCTCCCGGTGCTCCCTTTCTCGTTCCTTTTCTCTCTCTTTCTCCTGCTGCTCCCGGTCACGCTCCCTCTCCCGTTCCCTCTCTGCATTGGCAGCAGCGGCAGCAGCAAAGTGAGCTTGGTGGCCTGAGGACAACAATGACAGACATAGCACACATGATTTATATATATACACACACACACACACACACTACTCATGGGGTCTCAGCAAGATGGATCCGTCTTTCATTAGAAATCTGAATAATATGGCCTTGCTAAAAAGTCCTGACTCTTTCACAGCACAATCGTGATAATATTCTGTCTCAGGAATATTACCTCTTTTACCATTTCAGACAAAATCATGAGTGCAACATGGTTTATTACAGTGCTGCTGATTTAACTCCATATATACACCATATAATATTTATAATGCATTTCAACTGTGTCAATTGAGACTTCTTAAGATGAGATGACATTTTAATATGAAAAAACTGTAGACCTATCAGATCACCATTTTCATTGCCTTCAAGTTTTTTAGGGCTTAGTTCAGCGAATTTGAGTCTACTACAAGTATTATAGTATTCAGTTTAGATAAAATGACTGAGAATGATAAGAAATTACAGATTTTCAACTGCAGACATAAAAACAAATTGTTAAACTCAACCATTCAAACAATATATTTCACATTTCAAACCAACATTTTTTGTGCCGCTTAAAATGATCTATTAAGGAGCACACTTTCTTCAAAAGAAAATCATCCTGTTGCCGTGCAACAGTCAGAGAGTTGAGAACAGTCATACAGTGTGAGAAATCCCTCCCAGAATGAGTGCAGGAAGACTCACTTCCCGCAACTGTCCAGTGATAGATCACTGGACAGTCAGAACTGACCTTTGACACCTTAGGCTAGTGCAGGGCTGCACTCTTAGAGAGGTGTGAGGGAACACGGAGATCGTGGCAGGGAAGATAAGGGAACACGGGATGTAGGGATGGGGAAGGGAGGGGTCCTCACCTGGCGATATGGAGGTTGGGTTGAAAGCCCTAGGAGGGAAAGGGGGCTGAGCTCCAGGGAGGTAGGCCATGCGTTCCAAAGTGGGAGTACCTGTTCCCCCAGGGTGAGGCAACAGGATAGTTGGAGGCATCTGGGCTAGATCAATAATCCCTTTTACAGACAGAAGCAAAGGGCCAACGGTGAACAACAAAAACTGATCCATCAATTTCTGAATGTATGAACACCGTATACACTTAACTGTAACCCATCACCTACATCTGTTAGTGCTCCCAAATACAGATTGATCAGTAAGCAACAGGGCTGCAAAGGGGGTGGAATAGTGGTCAACTTGTAAGAGGCAACCACTCAGCAAAAGGAGATTTGGATGACCATACCCAATTGATAAATTCAGTAGTAGCCGAATTAGTTGCAGCCCCAATATAAAGAGCAAATCATGACTAGGTCATTTGCTTCTGGGCGTCTGGAAAAGGTAGCCACTACTTCACAAACACACAGTCTGCATACTACAGCCCCTGCCCCCCCACAGCCTCTACCCTGCCTGCTGTGGCAGGTGAGAGAGGGTCAGCTGGTGGAGGGTCGTACCTCGAGCTCCGGCAGTGTAAGGAATAGCAACAGGCTGTTCCCGTGGTGACAAGCCTCGGGCCATGTCAGGCCTAGGGATGACTTGCATCTGCTGGGAAGTGATATAATCGTTAAGGATGGTCTGCCGTGTGTTCTCCATGGTGTACAGCTGGTAGGTGTTGTGGTAGCCTGTTGGGGACGGCTGCCTGGGAAACATGAACGCTGTAGTAGAGGACAGGAGGGGAAAAAAGAAAGGAAAAAACAATCAAAACAAAACATATGAACAGAAGGCTCACAGATACTGATCGCAAGTGCTGACGTCAATAGCTGAAAAAGATCCTGAGAATAATTATAGTGCCTATGAATTAGACAGCATGAGCTGTTTTCGTCAGTTCACTCAGAATTAAGGCTATCACTGTTGTGTTTGTAGTTATGGTGGAAACTGTGGAAAAGATTTCAACACTGTACCAGGATCCAGCACTCTGTGGAAGGCCATGGTGGGGTCGAGATGTGGAGGCAGGTGGGCTCGGTACACTTCCCCAGGAACAACGGGCCGGTGGTGGGGGTCGAAGGGGCTGTGAGAGGCACCAGGGTCACCACCCGACACTGGGGACTTGGCTGGGACATTGTCCCTCTGTGTCGGGGTCATGGCACTCTTTCTTTCATGGGCAGCAGATTTCACAGAGCTCATACCACCTAGGAGAGAGGAACACACATGGCTCATCTAATTAGTTCCTGTTTAGTCAAACGACGACTTAATATCATCTCATGGCAGTACATCTGTCGCAGAAAACAGTTAAACAGAGTAAACGTCCAGTACTGGATGCATATGACGTATTGTTCCTAATATGCTTATCATAGTAAATAAGTTGACCTGGTTTGAAGAGATAAATGTCTAATTCAATTTTGTCTAACAGTAGCCTTAATGTGCTTCTAGTGTTGATAAGTAATAAATGGCCGAGGATATATAGTTGTATAGTTTATGTATAAAATGGTTATGGAATATACCCTCTGAAGCACGTCCCAGCAAGGGTGATCCTCTGGACACGGAATTGGTGCTGTAGTTTACAGGTGTCCTGCGAGCAGAGGCGTCCTCATACATGCTCGGGCTAAGCTGGGATTTGCTGGCCTCCTGGTGTGTGGAGCGCAGGACAGAAGTGGTGGAGTTGACCACAGAAGTGTGGCGCACTGCCTCGAGCTGGGGCATGCTGTGGGAAAGCTTAGTGGGACTTATTAGGGACTTGACATTGTGCTTGATAGTAGGCTGGTTGAGAGGGTGGATCTGGCAAATGAAAGGAACAAGAGATTAGTCTTTAATTCTTCATCAATATATAATATAGGTTACTTCCACCGTTGTATAATTGTGATTGTGCATATTCAAAATCAGAAGGTTTAAGGTAAAATAAATAATATAAAAACCACTAGAATGGAGATAAGTTTACTGAACAGATGTTAAAAATAGCAGTAGTAAATGCTGGTCAGGCCTTCAAAACTCAAACCGTCTTACCTGAGACATAGACCCCTCCATAACCCTTCTGTCCGACAGGTCAGGGGTCTTGCAGATGTCCTGGCCAGACTGATCTTGTCGGGGGATTTCATGGATGGAGCGTCCCATCTCTTTGATAGTATTAACTCCCTCATAGGGCTTGCCCTTGCCAATACCCCCTTCGAAGGTGCGGATCGGTGGGCTCTCTCGCTTTATCGGTTTTCCATATTTCATGGTCTCTTCATAAGTCTCTGCAGCAGTTCTAGGTGTTCCTGAAAATATTTGAAATGTATTTAATCATTTTCTCCTTATTTGATGCTACTAGTAACAGTAAGTGATTTATTGGAATGTGACAAGCTTTACAATTAACTACCTTGCATGATGGACCCAGTGATCAATGGTCTTTCCTTAGAATCTCCATGTAGACCATCTCTGGGCAAGGCTCTGCTAATCAACCCTGAGAAACAAACAAGCACTATCACTCTCCTGATACAGAGAAAACAAACCAGGACACAAAGGGTACACTTATTAACACACAAGCAATACCTTCGAATGGAGCTCCTTCCCTGCCAGGGTGACCCCTGCCCATGGGTCCCTCCATCATGTCGTAAGTGCGTTTTAGCTCATGGCCTGTTCTAGGGCTGCGGGTGTTTTCCCTGGGGTTCTTGATAGCTTTTGGACACAAATAAATCATCAAGTTTGTGTGCTTGGGAAAGAAATACTCAACAATTATTTGGTATATTAATAATCAAAGCACTTACCATCATAGGAGAGGATGTGACCACTCTTGCCTTCATAGATTACATGACCTTTAGCCAGCTGTTCTCCTCTGGACTTGTCTGGATTGCTTAGGTCCTCTGTGGCCAGTTTTGTGATTGTGCCCTTCAGGAGGTCAGCAGCAATGCTAGACTGGGGCAGGGCTGGTGTGCCCTATTTAAAAAAGAGGAAAGATATAATGAAACATAAAAAGCAAAAACATACAACCTTAAATATATACGCTTCAATAAATGCCCCCAAAAAAGGTCTACTTTCCTATCTGTCATTTATATATACCTTCTATCATGTAATGTAAATAAAATTAAAAAAAACACATACAGAAAACAGTTTTTACCTGAGTGATTGATCCTCTGAAAGCAAGTCCCTCGCCCACCTTTGCTGGGTTTCCTCTGCCATCCTGTATGGATGAAACTGCAGCTCCTTGAGAGTTACACGGATGACAAAGGAGAGTTAAATCATGTGTGATTGGTACTTTGGTAGTAACACCAGTTCAAGTGTCAAGATTTAAATTGTAAAACATACAAACAGAAGAAGCTCTGAAACCACAAAAGTATATTTCCACAGGTGATTTTGTTGTCACAGTGTCCCCAGTGTCCAAAGGATGTTTTAAACACAAACCTTTCCTTTCTGGTTAATACTTAACTTAACTGTCCTAAACTCTCATTTGACATATTAACATATTATACAGTGTGGCTCAGTCAACATTTGGTGGCAGTGCAAATGAGCAGTTATGTTTTCAGCATAGGGAACTGGACTGGACACTAGTGAGGACAATATTATCCACACAGACCTACGTGGAGCTATTAATAGTGAACTTTTCAGTATTTAAGAACTTAATACAACAAACAAATTAGCTGGTAATGTGTTCATTAATCTATAATGAGCTTCCTCTATGATACATTTGGTTTACCTCTGTGAGTTACATGTCTTCTCAAGAGATTGGGTAAGAAGTACCCCTCTACTTGTGACAGATTAAAGAGGAAAAGATTAAAAAGGTTATGGTGTCTATTCAATGTTTTAAATGTTTCCAAATTCACTTCATAGTCATCACAATAACTGGAAAACACATGCAGCTGATTTTAAGTGTACCATTAGTGATTCATCTATTTTTAATATGTTTGAAGACTGACTAGCAAAAAATGCATTCTACAATAAAAGCTTGCTTTAGCAAAATGTTGTGATGTAGAGAGATCAAACCTTATGGCCCTCAAACAGCATGAAACTATGCATAGAAGCTACTTAAAGTCTGTATAAAACTGCATACAAGCCAACTTTGTGTTTATGTTTGATTTTATTTCAGTGGTTTCCTGCCTGACCTGCACAATGAAAATATGGTGTAGTACTGTTGTCCTACCAGGCTTGTTAGGATCCTGCTGTCGAGGAAGACCCAGAGAGATGGAGCCGACAGTGCTTTTAGTCCCCTCTGGCCCATAGACAGCATGGGACGGCAGGTATGTGCCAGGAGTTCCCTGGAAAAGAAGGAACAAAGACTGTATTTCAAGGTCAGGTCAATGTGTTCATTAAAACAAGACAGTGGTGCCAGGTGATGTTGATAATCATTTATGTGTGACAGTTTATAAACCGTGGTATATGATCTGATAAACATCTCTGCTGATCGTTCCCAAAAGATGACACTGTGAAAGCTATGGCACAAAGGACACAGGAAGCCCGTTGCATTTCTGTAGAGCTGAGCTACCAAGAAGACTGTTACATTTACATTACATTAGCTAAGTTAACAAGCTAAACACAGAAAAAGAAACACGAAAAGGCATAATAATGTTGCACTGTTAAACAAATTTAATTTTGTTTAATAAAGAATAATTCTTCCTAGAAAGTTAAAAATGGATGAGAAATTGATTGCAGTCATTCAGAGTTTCTCTTTAAAATTTTCTTTGCGAGACTGAAAAAATAAACATAATTTATCCTCCCTAATAAGCACTGAGACACATCAGACAACACGAAGACGAATGAAAATGAATGAAAAATACACTATTTTCTGTTCTGAGAGAGCTTCTAAGATAAAGTATCAACCAAACTGCTTGTGGTATGGACCCAGCATTTGTTTTAACAAAGCAAACTGAGTAAACCCTACAAAGGGTCCAGAGTTGTGGTCTGGGTTACACTCCACTGTTTTATTATTTAATAAATCCTAAACTGTTTACATTCATATTTTCTAGCTTGCAGTCTTCTTCCCTGTCTTTGTTGACACATTTCTGCATATCTAGGTGTGTTACCGCCACCTGTGGATCAGTGGAATAGCGTGAAGCCATTGGTAGGAATGTATATCTGGTCACAAACATGAACAAGATACACAAAACGGTGACCCAATCATAGGAGAAACAGGACTTCAAAGGGTAAAAAAGCTCAATTGGGTATCTTTATGGGTTTGTCTTCGCTCTGGTGGGAATGTCAGTGGTGTAGTAAGAGCAGGGTTGATCCCCTGGGTCCACCAGTAGACCTTTGCCATCAGCCCCCTGGTGTCCTACCTGGGAGATGGAGCCGCCTTGGATAAAGGATGGCTTGTCCGTGGGCTTGGTGGTTGGAATGAGTGGTGGAGGAGAGGGAATGTTGGGAGGTCGACTGGGTCTGCTGAACGTCACACGGACTCCATCTGGCATACTCGGGACCAGCTGGTTGGGGGCAGGGTGGAGGCCTGGTGGGAATATGAACATAAAAAAATGAGATAAATGATAACCAGAACAACATTTGGGTATTAATCATCTATCTAAAAAGCAAATGATTAAATGTAACTTAGAACATCATAAGAGTTCCATTAAGCTTGATTTTCCATCAAAAACTGTGTGATAAAATATTCAGCTTCATTCTGACAGACTCCAGTGAGTGGCAAAGTAAGCACTGATAACAACTTAATAGCCTGTCCTCAGCTTGAGGTAACCTTGGCCCATGCCTGCTGTCTGCTTTACCATCTCCTGGGAAAGGCGAGAAGACGAAATGGATCATAACACACAGATACACCCACACATGACTGGGAGTAACCTCTATGCAGGGAGCATGCCTCATGCTCTGCACTCCACAAGATCAAAAATGCAAATGGCTGTGTGAGAGTTCCTACAGCGGGCATGCACGTCATCATACTGCTGGCTCATACAGGGACAGATAAGAAAACAAGCCACTCTATGACGAATGCATAAATCCTTGTTGCAGGGCGACTTGCGTGTCAAACATTAACATCATCGGCAACAACAACCTAATTTGTCAGGACATATGTTTGCCCCAAATGATAAACAAGAAAAACTATTGGTATCAAACTTAAATAAAAGTCTGAATGTAATTTCCACATCAACAACAGCAGCAGATATTACTGGAGGAAAAGGTTTCTCTGCAACCGTTATTTGGTGGACTGCACCCCTTTACCTTCCTAAGGCAGAAGCAAGCCTTTAATGCTGTCCCCAAAACATAACGCTGTAAAAATAGTAAATTAATGCAGGTCTATAAAATACTGAGAAACTTGCCAGCGGGAACAACATCGAGCGTGTTCATAGTTTTGATTCCTCTATTTATTACAATAATATTACTGTGTCATTGTCACTGCAACATGTATATTTATACTGTGTTAACTGTGAGTTCTTATCACACATCTGTGAAATATTTGGGGTTATAGAAGTTCCTCTCCATTTATGTCAATGTGCCATAAAAAAATAGCATCAAATTTAATCCAAAATATACTAATCACAAAATATCAGGCTCATCCTGCCTTGACATAATAAACGGAAAAACGTCACAGGGGAGATCTTAAATAAAATAACTTACTGTAAGTGATTGGCTGACTTATTAGTGATGGCAGTGTGAAAGACATTGTAAACTCAAGCAAATAAGCAAATACATTTTTCACATACAGTAATCTTAGTAATGTTATTCTATGCAAAAACAAGATAAAATGGTGATGATGGCAACTACTGACTGGCAGTGATTCAAACACCACCTTAGCCTCTTTTTGAGACAAGAATGTAGTACACAGGCCAAGATTAGGGGTCAGAGTGTGCTGATGTTTTCTCTGACTCATGTATTGACATACTCGCTGCTGTTATAAAATCACCAACCTACTCTCTAGTATGTGATTATACCAGAAAGAGCTCAGGCTTGTTGACCTCTTATGTATTGGTACACGTGTACAAGCGCACAGTGCATTTCCCTTGTGCTAGGATTCGAGGTCTGTGTGGCCTTAAGACCACATATCTGTAATGCTACCCATTATACAAGTGTTATTCATCAACAAAAACACCAACAATACACAATAAGCTTGACTCTTCAACTTTACCTTTAAAAAAGAGGATTACACGGAAAACAGCACATTTGCAGCATTTATAACTTTACTGTTTTTACTGATTTAATATTCCTTGAGAAAAGCTAAATATTGACCCATCCAATACAAGGTATACCCCCAATGTGGTTACATATACCCTGGGAAAAGAGGAAATTCAATCGAACTTCTAATGCACACACGCTCTAAAACACTGCCAAACCCAGACTTACAACAGGATTAAAAGCCACATATCAGTCCTCCTCTGCTCCAACTTTAACTTTAAATAAAGACAATCAAGCAATTGCATATGCAGATAACAGTCTGTAGGAGAATAAAATATAAATATCAAAACATGTCAATCTATAACCATAATAACTATAAACTATACAGCATTTCAACCAAAACTTTATAACACTCTATTTGAGTCAAAAGTGCCTCCATTGTCAAACACAAAAGACTCAGTAAGAGTCAGGCAAGGCTAGTTTGTATCAGCAAGGAAAGGGAGGAGGCAAGAAGGGAGGTGCAGATGTGTGCTTTTACCTGGTGGCACACTGTAGCGGGAGACATTGGGGGCGTTGGGGTCAGGCTGGGGTGAGGCCTTGTTCAGCTCCCTGGGGGAGAGTCTGTAGGGAGAGCCTGGCCGACCAGAGTGGGCCTCCTGGTCCAGAGCCAGCTTCATGTCATAAGGCAAGTAGGATAAGGGCTTACCTGCAGTACACAGGCATAAGGACAAAGACAACCACTATTAAAACAAGAACTCAATGCCAGTGAGCATTGAGCTGACCTAGAATGAACGGGCCTGTACAACTAACACCACCAGCCTGACACACAGCCACTGAAACCTATGTAATGAATATCTTGGTGTCAAAGCTCAGCAGCTTACTGACAGCTGCTCTACTCTTCACAGCACTCCGAACTAAAAGGTGCTAAAAGCTTTGCAAAAACCAAGCTGTAATGCAGTCTGCCTAGTGACTTTGCTGCTCTCCCCTCTGAAGCTAAGTGGTTGAACTATGACTGCCCAGAAGCAGCAAGTGTCCTACTCTGACACGCTCCAGTCATACAACAACCACAGTGCCCTCCTTCATTCAAAAGGCATTTCAAGAGGAACATCAACACAGACTTCAGCGCCGAGTTTGCATCAAATGTAAAACAGGGTCAGCTAACTTTTTTTGTCTTGACTCAGGCTGAACCACATTACGACAGTCCAGATCACCCTCAAATTGTTTTTTTGAAACTGTACAAAAATGAACAGGGCCTAAAAAATGCATCAGCTATAAATAGTCCACTGCTAGCAGCGACAGGGAACAAGGCTGACAGAGCGATGAACAGGAAGAAGGACAGATGAGGACAGAATGAGGGTAGTTTTTGTTCTCTTACCATCTCTGTCTAGTATGGTGGGGCTGCGTGTGTTGAAGGGGGGTCTACGGTCCAGGTCTCCCTGATCCTGCCTCTGCTTCTCCTCTTGGTGCGCAGACTCATGTGCTGCTTTGATCTGGTGTTGCAACATGGCAAAGCCACTGATGGGCACACCACCGGGGCCAAAAGGACCAGGCACCTAGATAAGTTAAGGGGGGAAAAGGTCCAGATGAGTTGGAATGCCAAATATAAAGTAAGTGAGATATTTGACAAACAATTTTCAAATAAAAATGCACATAACGTTTGCTTTGAGAGGTTATAAGACATTTGGTGAACATAAAAGTAAGATTCTATAAATCTTGCAATTAAATCATGACCTTGGTAGATGAATGATTCATATTTACAGATCACAAAACAGTTGACATTGTCAGCAGAGCAGACAATGGAACTGTTGTGTACATAGAAAAAAAAAAAAAGAAGATTGACAGTATAAACACCTGTAGTTTCTGATCTTATCACACTGCTCATAATCAGGGGTGGAAGTAACTAATTACAACTACTCACATTACTGTAATTAGATCATTTGTATATTATAGTATTTTTTAAGCCTGTAATTTCTACTAATTTAGGGACTGAAATTTTGGAGAAACAGAAACCAAATAAGACATATTAGGCTCTTGCCTGGCTATTGTTGTGTTTGCAGTGCACATAAACGTGAAAAAAGTGTTCTACCCAAGTTCAAAAACATTTTTAGTATGCTCTTAACAGACAAAATTCCTGCTTTATCTGTTTATTTGTTTAGAAAACAAACTGTTTGACCCATTCATACCTTGTATCATTTATCAGAGAATCCCGTTATGATTGAATATAATGTAACAGTACTTCTACTGTTACTACTACTAGAAGATTTTCAGTACTCTTTCCACCACTGTTCATAATGACTGCTGTGAGGAATGTGTGGGTATGTTTTCCACCTGCTACCTGCCTCCATGCAAATCTAAATGGATCAACCTGAAACTATGACTAACCATGGGTGGGATGGCAGCTGCCCGCTGGTGCAGCTGCTGCATGTTGAGTTGGGTTTGCTTGGGTGAAGACACCAGCACAGAGCCTGGAGGGCTGAGCAATGAAGGCTTTTCCATGGAGAATATTCTGCAGAGGCACAGGGCAAAATGCATGTTACACTTAAAACCATGAACATGTTCTGTTTTTGTAAACCACAACATGAGAACACAATTATGAGAACATACCTCCTTTCAGGCTCCGCTTCCCCATCCTCATCAGCACTGCAGGTGGCGCTGGAGTCATTATCTGAGTGGAGCTCCCTGCCGCCATGATCTCCCTTTTCTCCTCTCTCCTTGATCTCCGGCTCCATCTTGACTTGAACCTCTCCTGTCTTCATGTCCATATCCTGAGGTTCTGTTTTGGGATGCACCGGGCCTGCATAGGCGCCCACCCTTGCCTCCTGAGATCCAGTCTCACTCTCTGGGCTTTTCTCTTCCTTGACACAGAGTTCCCCATATGAGGGCTCCAGGGCCTTTCCATTGCTGGCCTGACCTTTGTCCTGGTCAGAGCACTGAGCATCTCCTGCAGCGCTGTCTGCCCTCTTGGAGTCACCAGACTTTGAGGAGTCAGCCTGAGAGGGGGAGGGGGCACTCTCTGTATCAGAGCTGTTGTCGCCGCCTGAGAAAGCATGAGAAGTACCAGTATTAATTAGAATTAGTGACTTGGTAAAAGTGAAACAATGCGCAAGACTCAGACTTTTAAGCCAATTTTAATTCCATTTAAGAATAAAGGTAGTAGATCAGTAAATAAAATAAATGTAGCCCTGTTGCAACATAAATCTCCTTATTAGGATGATTTATCATGTAAAAAAACAGGTTTTGTTTATTATGATTTTGCTTTATACCATTAAAGTTAGCTTATCCTATGTCCAAGGCCTTAAAGATACAAGAAATCAGCCTTTCAAAACACACACTAATTTAATCTGTTCCTTTCACACTTGACTCCAAGTATCTTAAATACCAACTGTGTACGTATATTTCAAACAAGACACAGAACAACCTGTAATTAAGTGATCAAATCTATAATTTATATCTAAAAAATAATATCTTAAGATCCTCCTTAAGATTGGAAAAACATATTTTAAAAATTCTTTCTTCCCCTGCTGGTTTGAATATTGTCTACCGCTGCAGCTGTTGCCATGGTGATGGTAGTCAAGATGTTATGTCTATGCAAAAACTATTTGCAGATGCATTATATGTATCAAACCAAAACCAGAGAATAAACATTACTAAACATTCAAATGAAAAACACTACAATCTTTGTAAGTACACTTTAACAGAGCTGTGCTAATGCCTTCTCTGATGTGTATTTGTGAGGTTCAAAACTGCAGATCACCAAGGCCTCAAAAGAGCAGTTTGGGTTTCCATGGGACCAAGACAAAGTCAAATAAACATGAGGGAAAATCTTGTGACGTCCCACTGTCGCCACTGCTATCTTGTGAACTAGAGGCTGTTTTAATTATATATAAGTCTGCTGAGCATGACAATTTTCCAACTAAAAAAAACATATTTTTAAATTAAAAAAAAAAAAGCACTATTTGGTGCTAATTAGATAACATTCATAATAATCTAATCCTAGACATAGCACAGCATCTTTTTCATGAGGGGGCCAAAAAAGATAACAACCTCTGGAGAGGAGGTAGACAGGCAGACTTGCTGGATCAAACAAGTGGACCAGCACTTTGTGTTCAAAGAGCAGGCTTTGTTGAGTCTTCAAAGCCAAGAACTGTTATGCAACAGGCGCCCATGTAGTCAGAATTAGTTCGTATCTTTTATCTCCACCTCTCCCCCTTGCTTTTTTTCCCTCTGATCCTAGTTTTTCCTGTCTCATTAAAACTACCGTCAGTAGAGAACGAGCACAATGCCATCAACTCAAATGAAATCCTGACATGACAATTCACAGGGCATTTTGGATCAGACTCCGGGCTTTGCACTGTACTTTTCACAGAATTCTTTCTATCCATAGACTCCTTACTTAACACTTGGTAATATTGGGCATGAAGCTCCAGGCATGGACAAACATTGGATAAAAAAACCTATCAGGCTGTTGTGCATCCTTCACACAGGTTGCCCAAGGACTTGCCCTGACCTCATATAAACAGGAAGAACAAACGTGTTTGGCCGTGTGTGTTTGTGTTTTTAACGACGAGCACATGCTTCCTATCATCCATCTCTCTGACCTTCACTGTCATCTGCGTTGTCCTCGTCATCATCATCGGGTGATGCTGTAGCTAGACCTTCACCTTGAGACCTATCAGCACGAGCCCGCCGTGTGTCCTGGGAAATGGAAAGACGCAAAGAACCATTTTGTATTAATTCAGCGCAGTTACAACAGTTCAACGACTAGACTACAACAGTACACAGATAGCAAATAGCTTACCTGCTTATGCTGCTGGAGCAGGTTGTCCAGGTTGTGACGTCTCTTGTAATTGAAATAAAAGTTCTTGCACTGTGCCTCGCTTTTGGTGCCCACCATTTTGGCAATGGCTGTCCAGTTTCGCCCATGCTCAACAAGCCCTAGTGCAAGACAAAGACAGACAATTCAGCATTAAAACATTTGCAGCGTTTAAACACTTGATACAATACAAATAAATATGGTTGAAATCACTTGTCATGTATGATAATATAAGTTTATGCTAATCAGACTAACAACAATAATCTTATGCAATGTAAAGGAACAGCAAAGTGGTGCAGCCAAGCCATCAAAGCCTGATATGATATGGACATAGTCTGACATCTTATATACTTTGCATATTTCCAACGATTGCTTCATGCTGTATCAGTGCCATAACTTTTATTCGAGAAGATTATCTCAATGAATTCTTTATGGTCTCTCTTTAGAATGAAAAGCTGCTGCAGTTGTTAGTATCATTGAGGCCGAACTTTTGGTATTACTGCAAAATTACACCATACTTGTGGGCTCCTCATTGCTATGGTCTGCTGTTGGTCTTCCCCATCCTGATTAACACTGAGCTGAGCACACAATCAGCTTTGACGGTCTCACTAAACTTTGAAATTACTCTGCCAAGCTGCAGTGAACTGGAAGACTGCCATTTACCTTTGACATTAGAGTGTCTCTTCTCTAAATCCTGTGACCCCTGTGACCTCCCCTCCCTCCCAGCCCTGCTGAGATGAGGGATACTGGCAGCTTGACAAATCACCACATAGCTAAACACAAAGCCCTATTACTGCTCCAGTTAAATGGGGGAATGAGGGCGAGGGGACTGTTCACAGTGAGTCATATCTTTAGAGTTTAGAGTAAATACTTAAAACTTCAATCAACAAATGTCACTTTTTTTTTTTTTTTACATACAGTAGACACCTACAGACAGCACATACTTAAAAGGCTTATACACAAGTTACGTCAGATCTCCTATGTTCTGACCACTACGGCAGCTTCATTTAGCAGACCTATACACAAAACACTCTGGCACATAACAATCCCTGTCAGCAGGACCCTCGAATGAACCTACACTGTTAAAGGGTGCTTGCAAATGTATCGTAACGTAGATCAGCACTGAAGTTTCAAATATTGCTTACTAATGGAGCCCAAAAAATGCTATACGGGACAGCCCTACTGGATTCATACAGCTTTTTAAAAGAAAAATTCTAGCACTTTTCAAGGTAGAAATATCTCTCAAAATCTTTATCATCACATCTTAATTGTTACTATGTCATTGTCAAAAATAGTTTACAAAATCTCTCTTAACTTTGATTGTATGTTTGCTAATTTCCAGAGTAACGGATCCTAGGGGACTTATCTAGTTATAAAAGGAAGACAAGAAAAGGACTTTCCTGTTTTTGAATCTTTAATCATGTTGTCAAAGCATTACCAGTTTACATGTTTTCATATAACAGTCGTATGCAGGTGGATCTCCTTTCTGCAGGTTGTGCCTTCCTTTCTATTGCCTCTGTCGGAAGCCTTTTTTTTTTTTTTTTCATTAGTCAGCCAGTTGTGATGAAATCCACCTGTTCTCTAATAGCTGACGAGAAGGTACAATAGTGTGATGTGAATGGCATGGCATATGACTGCCTTTTGTTTCAAACACACAGCGTCTCTCCAGCTTGGAATCAGTCCGCTCTGTGTTTTGTGCCAGGAAACGGCAGGATTGTTTCGTTTAAATTATTAAAAGATTTTTTGTTTACACGAATGATTTTAATATTCCTAACCGATTTCCAAATTCCCAAGGCTTTGTATTTAGTGTGTATCTATGTAAAGTGAAAGGTGTTACAGTTACTTTTTCAAAATAATTAACTTTGAAAAGTGTCTTTGTCTGAAGCCTTAATATCTCGAACCTCAGTGCCCGCATGCTGACAAACCAGGGTAACACATCTGCTTGCAAGAGATACTGGACGTTATCTGACTTTGTTAAAGTAGATTTGTTAACTAAAAACTACTGATTCATAACAGTTCAGTTAGACTGCAGGTGTGAAATTAAACTGACTAAAACAAAGAACAAGTCTTTTCTATTTCTCTTCATAGAGTTTGTTTTCCCACCATGAAAAGTTGTCATTTGACTACAAGGCGTTGGATGTGCTAGCCGGGTATTACCAGCGAGCCTTATGCATATCAAAAGGTTACAACAATCACTCAGAGGGTAACTGTGTTAAATGTGCTCGCATGACCCGCCATGTGTGGCGGCATAGCACAAAATTGATTTCTGAACCTGCTTTGTCATATGACTAGACGAGGTTGTGCAAGTCTCCTTTAGGTACACTAATCCAGACATATCTAGCATACATGTCTGAATGCCTGAGGAGATCATAACAGTCATGTATTTTTGTTAACAAGGAACCAAATCTCAAATACCCAGCCAAAGGAGTCTTAATTAATCCAGATTAATCCCTTTATTTACTTCCCCCAGTCTACGGGTCTTGGCATTCAGAGAAGCCTACGCAAGAACCTATAGTACCAAAGCCGAACAAAAAGGGGAAAAGGGGAGAGGGGGCAAACTTGAATGGCATATGACCTGACTAATGACAGCGGCGGTGCAGTCTTGACACCAGGCACAATATGCAACAGACATTTTGAAAAATTTAGACCAAAGTAACTTAAAGTACATTTAGATTTTTTTTTTTAAATCTAAAGATTTTAAATGTGAATAATAGACCTGATCTTTAGGAGGAAGCCACAACTGTCACGCTCTATTGTTTCATGGATGGTCTTAATAGATCACTTCTGAGAAACCAGCAGAGCAGTCCAGCGAAGAGAAAAAAAATCCTGAAACCCTTCATGGGTCTCTGACAGCTTCCAGTAAAGCTCCAGCACAAGTTTCTATTTGTGTGAATGCATGTGCACGATCACTCCTGTGTGCATGTAAGAAACAGCTAGGGCGAGGCAACATCAGATAATCAGAGGAGGAAAAGAGGAAAAGAGGAAGACAGGGAAGGCAAAGAAAGATCATAAAAAGCAGAGCAGCCAAGCCACAGCAACACAGAGAAAGAGCGGAAGGACAGAGAGATAAAGCAAGAAAGAAAAGAAATGAAACACTACCTTTTTTGGCGACCTCCATCTCCTCCTCGGTCCAGCGAGAAGTTTCTCCGGTTTCACCAGCACCAGCTAAATCACAAAGAAATAAGACACAGCCCCATCAGCACTGACAGAAAGAAAGAGAGAGAGAGAGAGAGAGGAGAGAGAGAGAGAGAAGAGAGAGGAGGAGAGAGAGAGAGAGACTGGGAGGGAGACAGACAGAGTGACAGTCCTCTCTTCAGTCGTCTCCTTCTCATGGCCACTAATCTAATAATCTGTTTACATTCAGGGGCTGCCGAGACCTGCTCCCTCACTTACACTCTCGCTCTAGCTCTCTCTCTCTGTCTGTCTCTCACACTCTCATTCTCCCTCCTCCCTATCTCTCCCCTTCCCCACAGCCGGGAACAAGCCCTCCTCCACTCTAATCCACAAGGGGAGGGCCATGGTCAGCTGATGTAGCACCAGACAGTGGAGGAGTTGCGAGCCCTGCCTCCCTCTTTGGGAAATGGCCTTGGATGGAGACAAATAGACAGATAGAACAGCCAGCCCAAAACCCTCCCACAAAATTCACAGAAGTGCATGGTTAGTGTGGAGGGGGCTGGGTGAACTCTAGCCCACTCTCCTCCATGGCACCCACTGAGACTGTGTAAACATTTGGACTAATATAGCAGCAGCTGTATCCTTGACATTAACAGGAGGCTTGGCCCTCCCTTCCCAACCACCCACCCACTTCGAAGATGAGGAGATCAATTCTCACTGTTTAGACGGCTCCTATCAAAAGGTCCCCTGGCCACACAGTCTGTTACACTTAGTTAAACAAATGTCTACTGGGATAGGCTTCCTTTTCCCATGGCAAAACTCACATGTTCTCCCCGTGACAGTTTATGCCCCCTTTAGGGTGGTCGTTAATCTCGAGGAACAGAGAAAAAAACAGAAAACAGACAGGTATCTGCGCACATGCACGCACAGACACACACACAGAGTCTCCCACTGGTTCAAATGAGATCAAACTCCCACTGTTGGCCCCCACTGAATCAGCAGCTTCCTCAATTTACCTGGCATCATATCAACTGGGCAAGACTGACAGATAGCTACCCTTTAGCACCTAGCCCAGTGACTTCTAAGAAGCACCAAAACTGCAGGGGTTACATCAGTGCATGCAAACAGACATAGTCTAGTAGATGTAGTCACTATGGGAGATTACAGTTGACACAGTCGTATGTAAACTATGATACACCCAGAACAGGGCAAGAAAGGTCAATGGGTTGAGAGGATGGAAGGACACACTGCAGTCTGCTAGTTAATCACATTATAGGGCAGACCTTGCATAACTCAGACTGTTGAGAGAGGCAGAGCTCAACAGACAGCACAGGGACCAGGTGGCAGAGAAGCCAAGCACGCTTACAAAACAGTGAATTAATGATACAGATTAACGCAACAACAAGCTTAACACACACAGAGTTGGATACCTGAAAACCTGAGCTACCACTGTCCAAGTGACAGACTTCAAAGGGTGAAAGAGTACAAGTGCGTGCCATGACAACAGCTCTACATTGCCATGGTGATGGACAGACTTTATTCAGCTTCCTGAGTGGAATGCAATGCAGCACAGAATCTGACTGACACTTGGCTATGAGTGCCTGAAACTGCTGAACCAACTGTCTACTTTCAAGCTATAAACAGCTAATGAGTCCACACATCTGAAGAGGGAGAAAGACAGGAGCTCTATATTCTGACTATCTCTAACCTTGCTGAAGCACATTCTATTTAATTCCCCCAGGTCATGACACCAAAGAGGTAACAGTATAAACGCTGTCCCTTACGCCAAGCAAGTCAGTGCCAACCACTGATTTCACATGAGGGAAAAATAAAAATATATTTTTTGCCTACTATGACATTTGGGAAGCTAAATGGGATGCCAGAGAATGGCCACTGTGGTCACTTGACAGTAATTGTTAATGTGGATCACATAAATTGCTGAGAGACTGAGTGCCTAGCCAAAAAATATAAAAGCATTACTGTTAATAATACAGCTTAAATGAGTTTTGGAATCACTCACGTTCACACATCCTTTTTTTCTTCACATATTTTGTAATGGAATATTGTATGTAGTTATGTTTTGTGACTTTTCTTTCCCTCGTTTCTGTGTTAGTAAGTGTGTTCCTATGTTGAAAAAATAAAAAATAAAAAAACACAATTTTGAACAACCTCCAGAGAACATCCCAAGAGAATTCACCTTTATTGGCATCCATGGAAGTTATTGGAGTCTGGAGTTTTGCAGGCTCCTTCATGGCCTTCTGTGCTGGATCAGATTTAGGGAGCTGTGGAGGATCTGGCAGGGCAGGCTCAGTGGCAGGGGGAGGTGCCTCCTCAGCCGCCACAGATGCAGCCTCATTGGCCATGGAGCGTGTGGTGATCCTTCCCTTACGGCGGCCCTGGCTATTGGCAGTCTTCCTGCCACGCGGCGTGTTTTGCTCCTTTCCGTCCTCGTCCTCCCCACCGTCACACTTGTCTTTGTCCTTGCCAATGTCCCTGTGGTTTTGGAGGGGGAAAACACAGCTTTTGAGACCGTTGGTACAGCAAATATCTGTTCCATTTTGACTCAGCAATAACAGGCCCTGTTTGTAATCTGTTCTTTTCCTCTATGACTGAACACACAAGAAAAGGCATATTAGAATTTGTCTACACTGAAGCTGGACAGACTTGTTAACAAGTTGGCAAGGTTTTTTGTCTGTTACCCATGCGCCAAAACAGACACCGCTATGTCGTGTCCAAGTCTTCTTTAGACCACGAACATGCATCACTCCACCAAGGGGCCTGGGGATGTGAAATCTTCTCATCACTGCACCATATCTGAAGTTTTTATTTACTATATGAGACAACCCTATCCAAAACATTTGCATATAACAGGGAACTAAGCTTGGACAATTCTTCACTCCTGTGTTCATTCCTATCCAATGTCAGTAGGGTAGGTCCAGGAAGGATTGCTTCATTAACAGCACAAGTTACAGTCATGTCAAGAATACTAATAAGAATACTGCTGATATAAACAATCGTAACTGTACAGGGTTGCTGGACTATCAAGTGTGACATTTTTACTATTTGGCTTTCACACACCAATCTGTCTTTTATAATATAGGAGCATTAAAAGAAGTCACACTGCATATATTGACAGCAATGATTAACTTAGAGCACTGAAATATAATGTAATGCCAGCAGGGTCTAATGGACTAGAGAGACACTAGGATAAACAACTAGTCACAACTCACCTAGAATCCTCCTTTTCATCTTTCTCTTCCTCGTCCTTCTTTTCCTCGTCCTCTTTTTTCTCAGACTTCTCGGATTTTTCCTCTTCGTTTTTCTCGTCTGATTTGTCTTCTTGTGAGGGACGTGTTATTTGCTGAAGACAAAACACAAGGGGGAATTATTTAGTTGTTCCTCTTTGAAACGTTAAGAAAAAGGTCAACGTGTAGATTAGCAAGAAAGTGTAAATCAAAAACACAAAGCAGAGAGTGATATTGATCCTTTAATTCAGAAAAACCTATCCTGTAATACATTTAAAAACATGATTCAAACAACCACCACAAGCATTCTTTTTTTTTTTCCCAAAGCAGCCATATGCTAATGTTGCTTTCACCAGTGTTATACTACTTCACTATGATACAGAATATACCACATACTTATGTCGCACCTGCCTTATACCTTAACTACACCCGTGCAGACATTTTTACACACTTCCTGCTACAGTTTTTAGTTCTTGCATGCTACCAAGCAACAGACATCTTCTGGTGGTATAGCAGCAGTATAGCAGCAGTATAGCATTGACCCTGTTAGCCCAAAAGACGATCTAAAATTGTGCTTGCTCATGGTGGTACTGTTGGGTCTCTGTAAATGTTAAAAGGAGTTCGGTCTA